CACACACACACACACACACACACACACACACACACACACACACACACACGCAACCACTTTGAAATCCTCCTCTATTATCACCACAAGTGCTGAACTTGGAACCACAGAGACAATGATGCTGTTTAAAAGATCTACACACACTCACACACACACACACACACACACACACACACACACACACACACGTTGCACATATTGAGGATGAAGATTTGATGCGGAACACACGTGAATGTAAACCTTTCTCTAACGTTGACGATATTTTTGAAACATGAGTCCACGGGGACCATTTCCTGAATCATCCTAACACGCAAAACAACAACTGAGTCACGTCAAGGAAAATAAAATCTATTAAAATCTCTCTCTCTCTCTATTTGTCACATGAGGAACAACACGGTATTTGCGACTTCTTCCCAGGCTGCACAGTTTTGTCTTTATCTACATCAAGGTGTGGTCGTTAATAAATCGCTGTATCATTCTCGGAGCCAATCGACTGTTGTCTGAAGACAAATCAGCCTCTAGGGGGAGACAACCAATATGCTGGTGCTTCTGCTGTAGGCAACAGATACCCAGGCCAAGACTCCATCTTTCTCCATCATCCGTTTAAAGTCCGATTAGTTTCTTCGTGATACTTTTATGGGTTTTTTCCTCTCTTTCAGACAGTTTCATTGAAAACACAAAAAAAAAAAGGCCTAAAATTCCCCAACCAATAAAATTCCAGGTTGAGAGTTGACAAGTGAAATGGTTCCGCCCATGTTGTGGGAGCGTTAGCTTCAGGTTCCTTTAGCCAGGTTCATGAACTCCTCCCTTTCACAACTTTATTATTACAGCGGCTTCCTGTCAGTGCACTTTTCTCATCTATAAATAAATGTTATTATCAGTTAACACATTAGAATGTGTAGTTATATGTGAACACAGATAGAAACCAGAGAAAGCTGCTGATCCCACAGTGGAAAATACGACAGTGATCTCATCCTATCAACTGATGCTTGGTGCGTTATAAACCAGCGTCACATTTACAACAGTGAAAATCCAGCATTTACTGCTTCGCCTCGGTCAAGTTTTCTTCAATTATCACATATAAAGTCAGTTTATTAGACATTAATGAATTACTGCTACAAAGCCTCAGAGATTTGGGGATATTTTTAAACAGAAAGCGAAAACCAGATGTTTACGGGCAGCGAGTGCATGAGACATGATTCTATAACTTTTAAATTGGGTAAAGTTTACAGAAAATGTAAATGTAAACTTCTGGTTTATTCAAGTCATTTGTGTCCACTGAAGATGTTAAAAAACACTGGGTGATTTTTAAACAACCGTCCGTCTGACTGAAGTTATGCTAAAGTAGCCTGAATATATGCAGACGCTGTTGGACAGTACAGGTCTGTCATCTTCGACCTGGTGACAACAGAGAAGGGGTTTTCCAACAGCAGCTGCCAAAGTTTATGTTGTAGGTCGAGAGAACAATAGATATGAACCTGTGGCTGACACACTGCGCCACAATGACACGGTATCACACACCACAGTGAGGCAGTGTATAACATGAGGCTGGACTGTTGTCGGATCATTTACTGTTCAGGTCAAAATAAACTGCAGACGGGTTTTCACCAGGTCACTGAAGAGGAAGCACGTTAACGAAGGAGGTTGTGGCATCATCACTCGGAGATGCTAGTGTGGCTTCAGTCTCGTCATTCTGTTGTGACGTCACCCCTCGGTTTGTGAGCTGCTGTTTTGAGGCCATTTTGTCCAGCGCCATCTTGTTTTTTTTCAACCAGTCGTAACCATATTTGGGGGAGCAGGGGGTGGAGCCTGACTGAGAGCTAATAGACACTTCACGCCCACCTTCACCTGCCACCTGCACCCATTGGACGGTAGCTGTCAATCACAAAAACTATGAACACTTTAAATTCCCCCCCTCCCCCCCTCTCTACTCCTATCCTCTTTTCACTGTTCTCTCATGCAGTGAGGAGCTGTCTGGAGAGTCTGACCACAACATGGCCACAGCTGTCCATCTTCACCATCTTCACGGACAGAAATACCCCACGCAGCCACACCCTCGCACAGATATAGCACAGACTACACACAGGGGATTGTGGGAAACTTGACCCAAAATATATGGAGCTACAATAACGATCTAAATCTCCTCCGAGATGTGACGACCGAACAGAGGCTTTTTTTCCCCTGAATATTTATAAAGAAATAAAGGAATAAAAATTCACAAACAATATTAAACAGAACAATTCCACAGAACATTAACCAACATATTTCTCAGTTTTAATGACACCACGTTGGTTTTTTTCCCGTTTCTGGTGCAAATGAACAATGTCAGAGTTTGACTTTATGGTCGGTTTTACCGCGCTGCTTGTTAAATATTATTGGTGAGGAGAATAAACCAAAACACAGACTGAACATCCTGAGAGACAGAAGCCAGCAGGACCAAAACTTCTGATGATCGTTGTCACGTCACAAGTTTTCTCAGAAACACAACCAGCAGCAGAATCGCCCACCATGGCGGCGTGTGTCAGAATAAACAATGGTGGAGCAAATAAATGACCCATATAAATATCCCAAACAGAACGGGAAGAAGAATAACTGGAAAAGCATCTGTCTCCTTTAACAGAGTTAAATAAAACTGGATTTGCGGAGGATCGATCACACATCAGGGGCCTTTTATTTCCATTGCAGCTGCAACTTCATCCATCATCTCCTCCAGCGAGTTTTGCATCTGCTCAACATTTAGATCTTAATCTGAAACTAAATCCAGCGCCACCCTGAGTAAATCCAGAATAATATGGATTACATCGTCAGGCAAAAACAACACAGGACATAATATCTTGTCTGAAACGCCAAACGAAACAGAGGTCTGGGTTTCTCTGCGTTGACGGAGATGACTGTAGACACGAGAGCGATGAGATGTGGGCAGACGCACACACACACTTTCTCCTTAGGCTCATAATTAGGAAAAGGAATGTCTGACAAAGGTTGGTGGGGAACCACCCTGAGCCCCTCACACAGGCAGGAAGCTTGACGTATATTTCAGACGTGTAATTCAAACGCTGCTCAACTCTGCTCTGCGTCTCTGTGCATGAAACTGACATGGATCCAAGTATAAAAAAAAAAAACACCCCTCAAATTTGCACCTTCCACTCAGCTTCTTCAAAACTGAGATCCTGAATTTAGCTGAAGCTCCTTATAGGAAAAAAAAAAAAGAAAAGAAAAACAGTAAGTTTCTACATTTAGAGGTCCGTCATTACGAGCGACCATAAAGTGCAGCGCTGTCAGGGCTTCAAATGCCACAGTGATACATTAAATACAAGAGGAAAAGCTCATGTAAGCAGCGAAGAAATTAAAGCTGTTGGATTACAGCTGGACGTGACTCAAAAGGCTCATGTGCATTAAAATGACTGGATAAAGTTTTGGTTCATGTTTGGCAGACGACTCGCTACTGCCCCGGCCTTTATGTGGGTATTGCATCTTACGTACGTTTCTGAGGACGTGCACAACCAATGCACCAAAACGAAAGCAGGATATGGAAGCAGCCATCTTGCCTAAGCGCAGACAACAATTAATGCCACAGGCCTAACTCCGAGGCTTGTGACTCGATTGTGCTGCATCACTCTGGTGCAGGACTCCAGATATCTCTCTTTACTACAAGTCTCATTATACAACTCTCCTCCAGAGCCAGTGGAAACTGTTTCATGCAGAGTAGACACAGCTGTAGCTCTATATACAGAGCGAACAGTGTCTGTGCCAGACCTCTCCAGGACAAAAATGAGCGTCTGTAATTAGTGACAGAAAACCTGCTGTAATGTCAGAGTGAATCTAAAAGAGAGAGAAAACTACACACTGGAACAGCAGAGGGTGAAGTGATTATACAGCAGCTGAAGATTTAACTATGGCTGAATAAACACAATAAATGTACATCAACTGTGGCACAAACAAAAAAACTGAAAATAAACATCACAAGTGCTTTTTAAACGTGAAGCAAGAAAACAACCTCTTCAGGAAATGTAGTGAATCTGCTTCATGAAGTCAGTTTTACTTCATTATCCCTGACAAGGTAATCAGCAGCAACTCCAACCTGTTCCAAAAACTTTTATGACGGACAAAAGTTCTGGAGCTGGCGTGTTAACGTGTTTGACACAACGAGATCAGAAGCTGCAGCTTTCTTCATGGAAACTACGACAGAATCCAAAGGCCTGTTTGCATGGTGTGGATTCCCAGTCATTAAAAACCCGTAAGTCATATTTCCCCACATGACAATCGGCCTGCACCAAACAGCCTCGCTCGTCAAACCAGAGGCAGCTCGCCTGTCGCCATGTGAGCTAAAGACTGCTGCCACTCACGTTTGTTTTCTTTCATCCGACCCAAAATTAACTTTACGGCTGCTGTCATATTTAGGTCTTGAAAACAGTCTTAACCTTGAAGTCAGACGTACGTGGTTTCGTCACGTTTGTAGCCGAAGAATCAGATTTCAAATATAATCATCCTCAAACCAAAGTTGAGTTTAAATCAAATGTGCAGCACATGATGGACGTCAGCATGAGCAAATAAAAACAATACTGCCTGTTCTAACCTGACGAGCAAACCCTGGAAGTCTTCTTGCGTGAGAACGATAATACTCAAGTCTAAGATTTAAGCCTAAATGGGCCTCAGCTGCCTGGTGAGATTTCATATTCCTTGTTTTTAAATGACCATGTGACTTCCTGTGTCACCACGACTCAAACACGTGATCCTAAAAAACTTATTTATGATGAAAACCAAGTCCTTCCATGGTCACATGCTGCTGGTTCCAGGAAGTAAGTGGCCTCCTGGTGTGTGTGTGTGTGTGTGTGTGTGTGTGTGTGTGTGAGAGAGAGAACCTGTGGTCTGTGAGGAATCCGGAAGTGATAAAAACTCTGAAATAACTATTTTATTTTTGTGTTTTTCAAAAACCTGTTTCGCGTCAGGCTGTTTTTTTATTTAAGAGCTTTCCACCAGATTAACAATATTATTCTTACTGAGCTCTGTTTGTGTTGCAGACGTCCAACAGTTCACTGTGATATGCTGCAAATGGTCAACCTCAACCACATGAAACCAGACCCTTGTTGTATTTATTTCCTACTGCGGCTCCTTCAGACTTAATTGTTGATGGGAGAAGCAGAATTCACCGACAGTTTAACTCAGTCAAACAGAAACAAACTCTTTTGTGCTTTTTTTTGGTGCAAACTGAAAGATTGTGCACGTTTGTTCTCTGTGAGTGACTTTTCTCTGTTTCAATCCATCCATTATCTTTACTCTGCTTTTATCAGGGTGACAAGCAGCTGAAGTCAAGTTAGATATTGGGCGATGTACGTCCTGGAGAGGTCGACCACGTATCGCAGGGCTGACGGCACACGACCATTCACACCTGTGGTTAAATTACAGTGTCAAGAACGGTGGAGAACACTGAAAAAATGGGATCTGAACCAGGACCTGTCTTGTTGAGAGATGACAGTGCTACCCACTGCACCACCGTGCCGCCCAGCGCTAAAAGATTGTAAGTTGTAAACTCCAAAAACGGTCTAAAGCCTTGTTAGTGGCTCAGAGAGGCTTTGTTGTTCATCAAGTTCCACGGTAAAAACACAGGTTTTCATTGTGTTCAGAGGTTTAATTGAGGGTAATCTGCTTGGTGATGAAACTTTTTGACAAAGTTGTTGAAAGTTTGGTTCCCGCAGGAATACAAAAACACAAATGTGAACACACACACACACACACACACACACACACACACACACTGCTGGTTTCTCACTTATCTTCTTTTATGTCGTGTTCCTGTCTGTCGGCCAGTGTCAACCACATTTATAGGCTGAACAGTGTGTGTGTGTGTGTGTGTGTGTGTGTGTGTGTGTGTGTGTGTGTGTGTGTCCACAGCGAGTCGTGTCATCTCCACCACATCTGACCTCGAGCGACATCCATTAATGCTCTCGTATATACTTTTTATAATCACAGAATTTGATGGACTGATGTTCTATTGAAGATTAACGCAGCAATTAGCACGAACACACAAATGTCCTGAGGTCGCTGTTAAAGAGATTATTTCCACCATATAGCGACTTCAGTTTGAACGTGAACAATGACATCAGCCGCACAATACGAGTGTGTGTGTGTGTGTGTGTGTGTGCGTTGATGGCGAGTTGTGGATAGAACTTGTTTTGCACATTTTTTTTCCCTTTTAACGACATTTTGGCGTTTTTTCCAAAATAAACTCTTCACACCGACGCTTCTCACCGCTCTTATTTCTCTTTATTCCAGATGCTGGAAACTGTCGGAGGCCTCACAGGAGACTCAGTGTTCCAGACCAGCTCATCCTCACGTCTGATGTTTTTACTGTTACGACCTCTGTTTCTTCTCTTGTGCTGCAGTGGTTCGTGTTAGATGGTGTTTTATTCCGACAGTTTTTTTTTTATTACACACACACGCAAAATTTTACACATTGACTCACACCAAAGTGAAGCCAAAGCCCCCTGGTGGCTGGCTGCAGTACAAGGAGCAAAATAACAAAAAGTCAGACTCAGGTGTGGCTCGGCCAAGCGGTCTCATGATCGGTCAGCTGGACAGTGATACTGCAGCGGTCACACCTGCACAGACACTGACTCCAAATGATGTCACCTGCACAAGAACGCAGCCGCCATGTGCGGGATCTCACAGGAGGAAGATTGAAATGAACGCCGTGACATGTCGAAGTTACCGTGACGATGTGAGAGGCGAGTCAACGTCGTTAACCTGACGTTGACTCGCTGACCATAAATCCTGCTTCAAAGTGCGGAAAATCTGAAATACTGACATAAACAAAACATTTAACAGAGACTTCATCCAGCCTGCCCTGCTTTACTCGTCCATTAACCCTGTTCCAACAACTCTCAACTCTAAATCACTCACGTTCTCACACACACATAAAATCCAACAAATCCACAGCCGCACTTCAAAGCTGACGTCTTTGAAAACACAAACAAACAAGATCAGATTTATAACCTTCGACCATAAAACAGCAACACTTCTCCGGGGTCATACAAGACTGAGCAGGACGCTCCCGCCGTGGTTCATGCGCGACATACCTCCGAGTGTCGGTGGAAGAAGAAAGTGTTGTGTAATTATACGTTTGTGACTCTCGAGGCCTCACAACTCATCGAGCTGTCAGAGTTCAACATGTCTGCACCATCACTCTGTGTGATAAATGTCTGTGCAGGTGAATCAGCGTGTTCGTATATTCTGATGCACGATGTTGCTCGAGGGATAAAATCTTCGTGTTCGTCTGCTCCAAACCGAAATGCATTTAAACGTACACAACCGTGCGTCTGGATGAAAGTATGCGTTCGTGAATAAAGTGTATAAGCGGCCAACAAGTATGTGAGAGCATCAAACATCAGCACAGACTCAGACATTCTACTGTAATTGCAGGTTGAATTTAGGTGACATTTTAAACTGCACCAACAAATCAGATTTAATTATTCTGTTGACTCAACAATGCTGTAAAATACAAATTATATTGGAATTCAGGGAATGCATGTCTGTCTGGATCCCACCTGATGGAAACTGATCTCAGGTCATCAGGTCATCTATCTTTATTACATTTAGTCTGCAGGACGAAATGAATAAACAGCAACCATGCACATACATGTACATTTGCAGAGTTGTCCAAAACAATCATGACCGTTAAACAAGCCTTACGTAAATGTTATATAATGAAGAGAACACGTTTCCCCCATTTTTCTTTGACATAATGAGACAAATATTAAGTTAATTAATGTCAACAGAAGATTCATTTTCATATTAAGAATCAGAATGTACACTAATACTGCAAACAGCTGCACCTACTCTCCAACTTTCTTGTATTTAAAATATATTCACAGGCTCCTTTGCAAGTAACAACACACACACAAAACTTCCCCTCTCCTTTTTTCGACAGTTTCAGACAAATCAGTCTGAGGCAGATGATTTTCCTCCGTCTGTGAGGAAGCTGAATCATTGTCATACCACCCGTCGCTATACGCTGCTGTTTTTCCCAGAGCCTGTCACTGCATGTCCTTAAATTAACTTTATACACGTGTGTGTAGGAGAACAAATACATTCACATGCTTCTGTCTGGGCTGTAAGTGTCTGCATGTCTTTATCCGTGTGTGTGTGTGTGTGTGTTTTGCCCCCGCACCACCACAGGAAGAGTGGGAGAGGGAGACGAGAGGTGGACCACGGCGCGGTTAACCACACAATATCACATGCTCTGTGCCGATTGGCTGCTGCCAGAGGATGGAGGGTTTATAAACCTTGGCTTCAGCAGGAGCATCACCAGCAGCAAACACCACCCAGGAGATAAACTAAAGAGAAAACCTCGTCCGCCTCTTTCTGCTCGACATCCCTGCAGCTTCAGAACAAGGTCAGAACGAATGTTTATCAGACTGAATGTGATGTTAGTTGGAGTTTCTGGTTGTGATGAGAGGAGTGCAGGTTCATATCAGTGCAAGTTGTTGGAATTGTGCTTGTTTTAATTTAAAGAATGCAACATTTAGAAATTAGCCCTGAAGTTCAAGTTCTTTCATGCATGTGAAACACACAATGTGGCCAAAAGTATGTGGATAACTACTCAACTACTTGTGTATTTTGGGTCTGGGGCTTGTTTTTCAAGATTTGGTCCCATCTGCTCGAAATGTAATTACACAGCATGCAGAGACATTTTAGAAAGTCGTGTTTTTCCAACTTTGCAGCAACAGTTTGTGTTTTGTTGTCGACTCAAAACATCTTGCGTGGAGTTGTCCCAGAAGATAGAAGAGAGGACACGTGGTCCTGGGATCACAGGTCCAACTGTCTTATGTGGTTAAACATGCAGGGTGTCCACATACTTTTGGCAACATGGCGTATGCTCTTTATGGATTTTATGTCGTAACATCTAGTTTGACAACACGCTATAAACATGCTGCTGCTGCTGCTGGTTTGTATAAATCCACCTGTAAAGGAAGAGGAAGCTACGGGCAGCAGGAAGCTAACCAGTGGATTATGTGTGACGTGACCACAGCGAATGATCACAGTGACAACACAGCATGAGGTTCAGGTTCCCGTCCAACAAACTCTTTTAAATTCTGAATCACAACTTAAAGCCGACAGATGAGAACCAGTTTCTGTCTTATTCCTGAGACCGATTCTGTCTTAAAAAAGCCACGTCTCCTCACAACCTCTTGTTTCTTTTAATCTAGTTCATCAAGAAAACACTTCCACAAGTACAAATACCGCTAATATAGATGTGAGGACCCCTCACTGATAAAAAAACAGCTTCACTCACCACACATAGTGACACTAAGTCCTCATTAGGACAAAGGTGAAACCGGTCCTGTGTAAATCTTGCTACTTGTGAGGACCCTTATTGTGAAAAGGCAGTTCCTGGTTTAACTATAGAACCAGATCTCCATCATCGTGAGGACCAGAGTCAATGTCCAAGGTCTAAAACTGGTCCTGACAAAGACACATGTACAGAACTACACACACATAATAAGGGCGTCCAACATGTTTCTGCTGCTCTGTGGGTTTCCAGTTATAAACTGGTGAATTATATAGTATAAGAAGAGTCCCTCATTAAAGATGGAGGCAGACACGCCCACAGCATACACTCAAAACGTAGAGCTACAGTAAAGGACGGGAGAAGAAGAAAAAGTTTAATTATTACTCTAAAACTCCACTCGAGTAAAAACACATATAATTTACTGCTGCAGATAAAACACATTAAAGAAGATATCGGAATAATGAGTATTTCCCATTTAGCCGAAGCCTCTTCCAACTTAGCACCCCAACGTATTTAAAACACACAGTAGTTCCTCTATTACCATGAAGTCTCACACACACACAGACACACACACACACACACACTAGACTAGAAAAGCTGACTTAAGGATAACATGCATATTCATCCACAACAGAAAATAGTCCTCAACAAATAAAGTATTTACTTATTTATGGGGGATGTTTATCAAATCAAGGTTCTTATGGTGACTCTGCAGGGAAATTTGTGTTGATATTCCAAAAAATATCTCAAAAGGAGACAAAGCTATCAGTCGCTTTGATGTAACTTTTATACTTAATTCATTTGCGTGTCACCAATTAAAGTAATTTTTCAATTCGGTCCAATAATCTTCTTTTCAATGCAACTCTTCAGTAACTCTAAATTACTCTAAAACGCCTCTTTCGAGATCATACCTGTAATTTTCTCACGTCTTTTTGATCCAGAATCTGCCAGAAACAGAAACATCCGGTCTCATACTTTAACGCCACCCTCCAGAATCATGTGATTATCCTCCACTGATGACAGAGACAACGTCTCACCGTATTAAAAAGGAGTTGTCAAGGACACATTACTGCTTGTTTAACTCTGTAATTAGGGACCGTAATGACTTCCTGTGACACAGACAGGAAGTGTCACCGCTAGTTAACGGTAATGTGACCAGGCGACCTCTGGGGCGAGATAATTCGCTGACGAGACTTTTGAGTGTGGGGTCATCTTTGTGTTTCCTCCGGACGAGTATTTCGTATGATTATCCTTCATCATTTTATTGCGTAACTTCAACCTTCATGTTTCTGTTTTTTTCCAGACACTAAACTGTGACACAATGAAAGTTGCCGTTGTTTTCATCCTGCTCTTCGCCACAGTTCTCTGTCGGCCGGTGAGTCATTTCTCTCTCGATTTTAGATTTTGACCTTCAACGTTTTGATTAATTAACTTGATTTAAATTGGATGTTTGTTTGCTTTTCAGGCGAGGAAAGTTTCTATAAACAGTTCAGAGAGCTCCGAAGAGGTGGTGAGACGACCGGCCGCCAGGAAGCAGGCAGAATTGGTTTCCCAGACCAATGCAGCACCTGTCCAGGTAGATTATTTCCTCTTATCTTGTCATCTGTGTCTAAGAAAATGTCCTCCCAGACCACATAACAGTGTTGTGGGGGAGGCAGAAATCTGTCTCCCACTTTTTGAAACCCACGAAATGTAAGGGCAGGTTGTAGAGTGGGTGTGTGGTTCCTGTGGATCAAAACACATTCCAGGTTTTTTCTCTGCACACTGACTGTACAGCAAATGTCGTGTAAACTGCAAAAGGAGGATTAATCAAATTTGTTTGCATGTGTCTGATGTTGCAGGCAGCTGCCTCCGCCTCAGACGAGAGCAAGGGGAGTTCAGAAGAGGTGAGGGACATCAAATTGAAAATTAAACAAAACAATCATAACTTTCCAGAGCTGTTGATCCTTATTGCAATTCCGATGAAGTTTAAGACTCTGGTTCTGTGTGATTTTGGCCACAGGGGGCAGCAGTGGCTCCAGCAGCGCAAGACAAATCCAGCAGCCCAGACCCGACCCCGACCTCAGATACGACCGACAGCCAGGACAGCGAGGATGATGACGATGATGATGAAACAGAGGAGACGGTGAGTAAAAAAACTTGACGGTATAAAGCCTGGCTACATGTACATGGAGGAGACATTTCTGTAGTGAGGGTCTGTGTGTTTACATGTGAGTTGATCATAGACAACAAATATGTACTTTTGTTCGATGTGGTTAAGGCGGGTTAATAGTTAAAAAACAATAAAACACACAAGACAAGAAAATCTGAAAAAGCCTCAATTGTCTCTTAATTTCATATCCTGATGCCAGTGTGGACGCTCCACACACCAAATCCCGTTTTTACTCACTAGTCCTCTCTCAACTCTGTGTCTCCAGGAAAGTGAGGAGGAGGAAGATGAGTCCAGCGACAGCTCAGAGTCTGGCGAGTCCTCCACCCCGGCTCCCGCCACCGTCAGCCCCACGGTCGTCACAGAGGAGCCCGTGTTTGAAACCACAGAGGATCCCTTCCTGCCGACCATCGTCACCGACCCGGAAACAGCCCGTGGCGACAACTTGGGAGGTTACCCCAGCGAATACAAATCCATCGTCTACGTGGAGGACAAGTCCTACCACAAGGTGCCCTCTCCCTACAAGTCCTGGGAGTACGTCAACACCGGGAAGAAAATGGCCTATGACATGACCGACGGCAACGAGGTGGAGAAGTCACTGTCGGTGTATAAGGTACAGGTTAGCTCTAGCTTTGTGAGGGGGACAGGTAGATGCTACATCTGTATAGTTCAGATGACATGTGGTATTAAGCCATAAACATAAGTTATATATATTTTTTTTTTTCAACTTCAGCCTTTTCTGCCGCACAATTGAGAACTTGCAAAGATTCAACGGTTTCAAATGTTTCAACTGCGATAGTATTGTATTCAAATTTCAATCAGCTAAGATATACTCTAACGAATCCTCTCTTCCCTCCCCTGCTACAACTCCAGGCTATTCAGGTCCACTCTGATATCCTGGAGGAGGACACCAGCACCCCTGAGATGGAGAGCCAGGGCCTGGACGCCTCTCAAGACCAGGAAATCACCCCCCGCCAGGCCTCCATTCCAGGAGAGGAGGACGAGAGCGCCAGCGATGCCACAACCAATGACAGCTCAAGCGCAACACAGGAAGAGGAAGACGAGACCACCAGTGCCTCAAGCGACAGCACCAGCACGGAGTCCGAGGACGAGGAGAACAGCGAGGAGGCCACGGCCACGCCCGGAGCCGCGGACAGTGACTCTGACGAGAGCACGGAGAGCGATTCAGATGAGGAGGGGGCCGCACCTGACGCTACCACCGAAATGCCAACGGTCATCACTGCCAAATAAGCACCACCCAGCCAGGAAATGGGGTGGATGGCGTCACATCACATAAAGATGTGGGCACGCTGCCTCCAGGTGCAAAAATACCAACAACACTCCACAACCTCTTTCCACTGCCGGGCCAAACAGGAACTGAAAAGGCTTGATTATTATTGATTATGTTTCTGTGGTTATTTGTTGTTGAAGCAGAAATGCAGTTAAATATATTTTACTTGACTTGGAAACCACCATGTTTGACTCTGCAGGGAGAAAGTGGGAAAGATACGACTGCTGCCTGCAACAGGAAGTTGACTGACCTCGTGACCTTTGTCCCGTCGCCTCTCCGCTGCGTTACTGCAGGGTCCGAGGTCAAAACTGCAAAAAGAGCAAAGACACAAACTTGAGTTCTGAGATCTACACTAGCACAACACTGCATTTAATCAAGACTTAACAACTGCAAAGTCCAGTTTAATATTTATAATCATTTGAAGCATATTAACAAAAATAAAACTTGTCATTAAGTCATCTTCCTGTGTGGCTTAGCTTTGTCGCTTGCTAGTATCTAACCTGCTGGTGTAGATAGAGAAACTCGAACCGTCCAGGGTTCAAACATACAACACAGTCCAAACCATTTGCACAGCTCCTACCTACACTACATGTTGTTTGTCTAATGTCGTTTACTGTAATGTATCATATTGTACCATTTATAAAATTTGAATAAAGTCCTTTTTCGTAACAAAGGTACGATGTTCGATTCCAGTTGTTTTAGAGCATAGACTGTAAATTAAGATGGACGACCCGTTTCCACATCATCCCAAAGTGTCAGAACGACAAACAAAAAACTAAGAAAACACACATTACTTCAGATAGTGTGTAAAATAAATAAACACGTTTATGTCCATTGATGTCCTCCCTGTCCTTCTCCAGGACGTCCTGAAAATATAGATTTTAAATCTTATGTTGTAATTAATAACTTTCCCCACTAGATGGGGCTGAGTCATTTTATAAAAGTAAGTTTGTCTCCTCACTACAATTATGACACTCAAACAAAACCTTCATTTAAAAGGCAATGAGGAATTTCAGGAGAGAGAGGCCTATTACATCTAATCATACTTATTTTATGTCACTTATTTACAAATGTATTTCTCCCACAGAAGCGTCAGTTCATATGTCATTTTGGAAAAGATGAATTTACAACAAAGTTAAAAGAGAAAACTGTAGGAATTATTATTGTATTATTATTTAATTCAACACGTAGAGAAAACTAAGTGAGAGCTAACGAGACAGGGCACATCCTCCTGACAGATACATAGGTATTAATACTTTTCATTCTTCTAGTTTCAGTGAAATTAATTTGCATGTAGTAACTGTCTCGGTCTCTAAATACTAAAGTTTGTGACACAGCTCCTGCCCCTTAGAAAGTCTTTATTTCTTTTGTTTATTTCAGGTCACGATCTTTATAGAAAAACTCTAAATTGACAAGTTAATAGAGAGAGACGTGACTGAACAGAGACATGAACCCTGAGTTCAGACCTGCGTCACTGAGTGTCTTATAGTCAGGATTGATCACAGATGGAGACTCCACACGAGGACAGTTTCAATAAACAGTCTTTAATTTGACTTGGTGAACAGGAAGTCAGATCCAACAAAGGTGAACAAGAACACTAAGCCTGATTAAACACATGATAAATAAACACAAGGAGAAACTAATAAAGGCAATTAAAGGTAAATTACAAAGGGTGGGCGGGTAGAAAAAGACAGGAAGTACAAAAAACAAACCAGGAAGTAATAAACCCGAAGAGGCGCAAATCTAAAAACTTCGCATAAAGAAAAACAAGTTCATAAACACAATGAGTCCAACATTTCTAGACGAAGCTGTTTAGCTGTGGTTTAACAGTTGTGTCGGATGCCTAGTTGTCTCCTCTGTTTTCCGTGATAGGAGCAAACGTCAGAATGTCCTCTGTGACACAGCGAGTCACATCGGTTGACGTGGCAACAGGCATGGTCTCTGTCACAGTCGGGTCATCCGTGGTAGCCGAGCCTGGTTCGGGACTGAGCCCTTCCCCATCTTTCATGGTCGTCATGGCAGCAGTGGTCATCACAGGTGCGATGGTCTGATCAGTGACAAAAACTTCCTCTGACGACTCCTCAGAAGAGTCACTCTCTGAAGAGTCACTCTCTGAAGAGTCACTCTCTGAAGAGTCACTCGATTCCGAGGAATCGGAGGAATCGGAAGAATCGGAGGAATCTTGAGCGGAAGATTCAGAAGAGCGCCAGTACCACCGGATATTCTCACCCAGCCATCCCTGCTTCAGGTCACTGTCAGCGATGTCAGCGTCAGAGTGGATCTGTGGAGGAAATGAGTCGTTACATTCAGTCCTAGAAATGAAACTCATATTTTATATGAGTACAGTTGGTGTGAGACGGGTGAAATGTCCCAATCCAGCAATGAGCTTTATTCACCACAACCAAGGGGGTTATGTTTTTATCCATGTTTGGTTCTTAGTTTCCAGGATTAACCAAAAACTACAGAAAGGATTTCCATGATTGGTTTTCCCTGATCCATACGCATCTGTCCACTAAGTTACACGGGCCGAAGTTTGTAGAAGGCGAAAGAGAATTTCTCCTCCCGTGGTCGCTGAATTCCAACTTTTGGTCGAGTTATTTTACGGAGCTGTGGTATCTTTTTTGGGTCCGCACGCCAATTTTTTAAAAGCTAACAATGTCCGTCCCCAGCTGGTTAACTGCTGGGTGGGTCCTCGAACTATTTTAATTTTCTGCCCACACAGATAATGCACAAATCAAATTTTTTTCATTGTGGGATTGCAACATGAGATTTGAGGCCCTGTCAGAGATGGAGAGGATTAATTTACGGTGCGGTGGTTCACTCACCGGGTTGGCAGAGGCGGTTGTAAGAAAAATGACGACGAGGGCGGATGTCAGAAGCTTCATCTCTCCTCCTGTCAGCGAGGGAGCGAAGCCACAAAGAAAAACAGTCACTTACACACAACCAGAAACAAAACACTGAATCAGGCTGAGCTGGAGATTGAGACAGAAAACTTTAACAATAAATAATGAAACTGACAAATAATCCATCATTTTTTCAATGAAGATAACAATTCAAATACTTGGAAAGAAGTTGCCCATCAACATCAAATTAAAACAAAAAATTATCAAAATTAAAAAATAAAGTAAGTGAAAGGTTGAAACTTACCAGCAGATCAGTTAGTTTATCCTTTCAAACTTCTTTTAAATCCTGGATATGAAACAATGAGATTCTGTGCAGCTGTGATCACTGGGTGTAGAAGTATGTCTGACATCCATCCAGCTGCTTCATAAATACTGTCTGTGCCGACAGGGTGGGCAGGGCAGGGCGGCGATGGACACGATGTGGAGGGGGGGAGATTGGGTAACACTGGGTTGCCCAAGGTTTGGGTGGAGTGGAGGGACAACAGCGGGGGTGAGTCAGAGAGTAAATGTTTTTATTTGGTCGCATGTATTATGTTTTTAAGTATTTGAGGTAGAATCCAAAGAAGTGTTGTGCAATCATATACAAAAGTATTCAGACACTTTGCTGAGGAACAGCAGGTGAATTGAGTTTGATTTAATCGTCATGAGACGCATCGAGAACTCGAGTCCACCAGCAAACACTGAAATGAAATTAAACAAACAAGCACAAGCCTGCAAGCACGTTGCTAATGATGCTGTTTAAAGGATGAACATTAATATCCATAACGATTCCAGACCTTAGTATTTACAGCTAATGTTAAAGTTGTGGTGACTATTTTTATCCTTCAACAAGGAAGTTATATTTTCATCTTGTGTTTATTTATTTGTATTTTTCTTTCTTAGTTAGCGAGAAGACCCAAAATCTACTAAACTTGGTGAAGGGATGGATCAAGGGTCAGGGAGGAAAACATTCCATTTTTGTGCGGATCCACAAATCTTTTTTTCCCCTTTCTGTAACATTGTGAAATATGACATTCAAACACTCTTGTTGATTTCTCAGAGAATAATTCATGGATCTGGATGATGACTGATAGTTGAGTGTGTGTACTTTGTCACAGAGCCAAATAAAAAACTGGATCCAGTGAATCATACGGAGACTGAGCCGTGGCCTTCTAGTTTTAAATCAGCACAATGTTTTCCTGACATTAACCATAGCATGACATTTTTCATGAAATAAGGAAATATTGTTAATGTTGACATTGGATGTCGTGAGTTGTTATTTTTACAGATTCGTCTCATACCCGTGTTCTTTCCTGAAGATGTGGTCATTGATTAATGCTGTTTTTAAGGTTAAATGAAAATCAGTCGCGTCGACGGGGATAGATTTAGAAACGGCAAACGGTGATGAAGGTCTGAAACTGACGTGGCAGAGAAATACAGACAGACTCCTTGAGAGTCAGTGGAATCTTACAGTGGAGCTAGAGTAGAGACACACTTTGATCAAACAGCCGTGTGTGACACCACTGTGTGTGACACCACTGTGTTACTTCATCTCTCTGTAACCCCCTCCCCCCCTCGGCTCTTCCGCTCTCTTGATAGTCACACTCACCTCAGGATTACATCACCTTGGTCACATTAGTAGCGCCATCATGAGACATTAAGCGTTTTCTCTATCGCACCCCACTCACTCACACACTGCTGGCTCAGCTGAACAGGGGAGACTGGGATAGAACTGCCAAGCTTGTGGTTGGTGGACAACCTGCTCATAATGTCCTTGAATAATCATGACGTCCCAATTCCTCTCTCTTAACCCTGCCCCTCAATATGGAGCGTCTTCACTGGGAGTCAAACGGAGCAACAGACGCCACTTGTTTCGTCATCAGCAGCCAAACAACATTATTACAGTTACAAATATTATCAACTAACAACCGTCTTGAATTGTTTTGTCCGTTCGTAAAGAATTCTGGAATTTCCATCTATCCCTTGGTTTTTAGGGTGGTCCTGAAAACACAGAGGTTAAATGGGGGTTTGAAAAGCGAGATGGCCACAACCCCTACATCACATAGAGAAATGGGACAGTTCCCCTTCATGGTCAAACACAAAACCAAGACGTAGGGCCGAGGGGTCGCCTCCTGTATCATAACAGCAGTGGTACAGTACAGGATGAGACATGAACCCACTTCCTGCCCTAAACATGGGGACACAGAAATAACTGGGGAAAGTTTCAGCCACTCAACCACACTTTGTCCAGACCAAAACTATTCATGGGAAGATTTCAGCAGGTGAATTATTACCATCATGTAAATTCTGTCTCTCCTCAGGTATGATACTTCACAGTGAAACTTCTGCTTTTGGTTAATTTTTAAAAACAAACATCACTACGACAGGAAACTTGGTGGTTTTGGAAATGAACAGAGGATGTAGGAGTTAACCGCCCCCCCCCTTACTCTTCCCTGTCATAGTTTAAGGTCAGGTTGCTTCCTCTTTCTGTTTTCATGAACAAAGTCTTTATTCACTTTAATTTTGGAGATCCAGCTCATAAAGTTGTTTTGACGTCACATTTTATCTAAGTTTGAAAAGAAAACGATGAAACAAATGGCTTTCCTCACCCTAAAATTCTTCTTTTATTCTAAGGTTTTATTTATTTACTTCTCAGAGTAACATATGATGCATTTAAAGGTTCAGTGTGTAGAATTTAGTAACATCTCGTGTTGAAATTTCATGTTGCAGCTAAGCACCCCTCACCCTCTCATTCCGAACATGAAAAATAACCTGTGGTAGCCTTCAGTTGTCATAAAAACTCAAAAGGTGTTTAGTTTGTCCAGTCTGGACTAATGTAAAAAACAAGGCTGCCTCCGTAGAGAGGGTCCCCTCCATGTAAAAGTATTTAAATATAAAGGGACTTTTCTGGTGTAAAGAAAACTATTCATACAATTTAGATTAAATGAACTAGTAAAAACATCATGAGGATTATTCTACATTAAATTAAGTTCCCTTTCACCTAAATCTTACACAATAGACCTTTAAACAGCAGAGAGGGAAGGAGTCTGGATAAATGCTTGTGGGTTTATTTCGAGATCTGTGCTTCCCCTGAACCGACGGCCATGAAGTCATGAGCATGCGTCAGACACAATATGTGATGAACTATGAAAGGCAGCGGTGTGTATTCCTGTTAGTAACACTATAATGAGTGTGTGGTTGAATCGTGAGTCATGGTGCTGGCAGACAGGGTTGCAACAGTATCATGATACCAGTTATTAATCAGGGCATTAATGGAAAAGTTGATGAGAGAGAAAGAAATCTAAATTGTTTCTCTAATTCTTGTGACCTCAATCACATTTGATTTTTTAAAGCCCTTATTCACAAATCAGTTTGTCTCATAGATCTCAACAAGGTGCAACGTCCTCAGTTCTTAACCCTCAACAAGAGGAAACCTGCCAGAAAAACTAGATTAACAGGGAAATCAACCTGAGAGCGTCACATGAGACGGACACGAGTGCAATAGATGGAACGGAGAACAAAATAACTGTATTTACAACATTGATTTAACAAACTGGTTTACTTACTGTGTCTGTGTCATGGTGACGATGAGGTCAGGTGGACATTTAGCGACGAACACCTGGAAAGAAGCAGTGAGGCAACAGAAGAGAGGAAGCATTAGATGTCACGGGACAAAGTCACATTTCAAACAACAAACTGTCGAGTTATACTTTTTTTTCCTCTTAAGTTAGCTAGCTTAACTACTAGCTAGCATTAGCAAACAGCCGGGAGCATAAAGGTGTTCAGGAGTGTGAGTGACCCACCTGTCCAGGAATTAAAAAGTAGACAACTTTGCCTTTAATTGTCATGAAACATAAATATAATTATAATTATATTCGCACTGTTTCGTGTGGAAATCGAATCAAAGCGTCATCAATGAGTTTCGACGTTTGTTTTCGGCTCCAATGACTTTTTACCGTAAGACCACGAATAGACGCGCATCACTTTTCAAAGTGCGTCACGTGTTTCCTGGGACCACCTGGGACCACCTGACCGCTGGACCCTCACCTGTCTCCGCCCGAGTCCCACGCCGACGAGGACGGAGCATAACCGGCTGCAGCAGGTAGGTCACCCGCCGGTCCGACATTTTGTGTGTCGTCCTTCTTTATCCTGTAGAGAATCCAAACAGATCTTAATGTGGCGGCTGCTCAGACACTTCCGGGTTGTTTCCCTCCGTTTTTTGAAGCGTCCTCGGTAAACTGGACTTTACGCGGCAGCCATTTTGACGTGAAATCATAAACACAGCCGAACGCATGTGACACTAATCACGTTCATTAATGCCGTGGTTAGAGTTTAATTAGGGACACGTGTGTTCATCTGCGAGTTCAGCTCAAAATGGTGGAAAAGAAAATGCTGAATTGTTTGACCACGGAAACACAGAAGCTTTGTCACAGATGTTGGATTAGGTGTTGATATCAGCACATGCTAAATGTTTACTGATAAAGATGATGGATATATTGATATGATGGAAACTACCCAGAATATCTTATCATCATTCGTCCAACACTGGATGTTCTGTTCCGTAATATAAGGATGTCGTGATTTCATTAGAACTGTTGAACTGAGCTGATTCATTCAAATGTGTGTTTTTCTTTGCTCTTCGTGTTGGAGTGAAGAAGACAAAGTAAAAAACTGAACCTTGGATCTGATGAGCGTGTTTTCTGTTCGGGTTTATTTGATGTTAGTGACTTTAACCACATTTTTAACCTCTTGAAGATATTGTAGACTAATTGAAACGCTCGTCGTCACGCAGCAGCAGGACCATGGCTGCTTTTTAAATCAGATGTTCACCGATGATGATAAAATGAACATTTCTTACACTCTGAGCTGAAGCTGTCTGTGTTGTGTCTTGTGGTTATTAGTGACATCTGCTGGGGATAATGGTCCAGTGTAACCTTGTTAAACTAACTTCAGCTTCTCAGGTTTACACAAAAACACGTCACGTTCGTTCTGTAAAACACTCTTATTAACAGTGTGGGGAATTGTGGGAAATGGGAATTGTATTATGACTTTAATATGTCAGTGGTTTTGAACAGCCTTGCAGCACTTTAATCAGGATGTGATTAGTTTTCTTGTTGACTGGTTTGCTTTGGTCCAGTGTTTATTCAGAGGTGGTCTGATCAAATAGATTTGTCTGCTGGAGAGGTTGCGTCTGTGATTGATGCATGTTCATGCTGCTGCTCTGTGGTTTCAAACTGAAGCGAGAGAGGAAAAGCCTCTTCCTGTCTCTGTCTCTAATGCTGTTGTGAGAAATGAGCATCTGTGCCAACCTCACCCTCTTATCTGTTTGTGTCTGCTGTGCATTCCAGTAGTTTTCTTAATCATATCAGTCAGTAGCAGTAACAGTGACTGACACTGTGACTCAGTTTATATATATATTATTTGTTAAATAATCTTTTTAATTCAAATGAATGAAATGAATTCAAGTGTTTGAATGTTTTATATCGTGATGTTTAATGTCGGTCTTTATTGTCCAGATGTTTCTTAAGTAAAATAATGCTCCTGCCATTTCCTGCCAGTGTAATTATGCACACACACACACACACACACACACACACACACACACACACACACACACACACACTATCTAGGGCCTGATAATAACAGTGCAGTTTGAGAATCTGCTTCCTCTGTTATTACTTTTGCTGCCCAGTAATGACGGTAGATAGAAACGTGGTGAACCAAAAAAGAACATTTAAACAACTATTTACTTGAGTATTTCAACGTCAAATTGTCTTATTTATATTGAGTACACAAATATTTGCAGTTAATCTTAAGATTTTCCATCCTGTGCACTTGTATCTGGCTGATGATCATTTGATATAAATTGATGTAAAATTTTGCAATGATTCATGATATGTAATTATCAAACCCCTATGACAAAGAAATGCTATTCAGGCTTAATATTTTACAGATTATCTGTATTATAATAAATAAAAAGAAAACTAAAATAAAAACCCAAATATAAAGAACTTAAGAAATAAACTTCATGTGAAATAAAAGATATACATATTAGCAAAAAAAAATTAAGTATTTAACTGTAACACAAGTTAGGAAAGAGTTGAACACAACTGGTAAAACACATTGAAAGTAAGATGAACTAAATCACAAAGATTAACTTAATCCCACAATCTGGGTTTGAGGGTCTTTATACTGGAGAGGAAAGCAGAAGACGGGAGGTTTAAAAAAACCTGTGGAAGCTGGTTTGGGAGTAAAGTGAGAGGTTTAGAGGGTGGGCAGCAGAGGAGGAGGATTTCATGGGAAAAGATTTTGGATAGAGGAAGAATGGAAGCAGTAAGGATGGGAGGACAGCGACGACAGAACTGTTATTAAAGCTCCCACTAATAAACGCTCTGCAGCCCATTGAGGAGCAGAGAGCACACTGAGCCCCTGAATCAGCCTCAGTGTGTTGTTGTATCATTTTACTTGTTTCACATACGGTTGTCCGCTAACACCACTATGGATTTTTAAACTTTGAGTTATCACAATAATTAGAGTCACAAACCAGAATGTTAATGTCTGAGGACAATATATTGTTGAGAGATTTCCCAAAACCAATGTGAACATCATGGTTGAGCTAGAGGGAAAACTAGCATGTAGATTAATCCTCTGGGTACCATGAATTACCGATTCATAGGAATCTGTTCTATAGCTGTTAAGATATTTGAGTTTGGCTTAATGTGGTGGACCAACTTCCAGCATCCCTCAGCATGGCTAAAAGCAAATCCCTGTATGACTTATATCTGCACCATACTATGAACAAAGATGGACGATTCATTTAGTCTTCCTCTCACTATCCAGAAATGAAGCCATCTGCTAACATGGAGGAGGCAGAGCTTGCTAGCTATACAGCAGCCAACCACCAGGGGGCGCTGTCATGGCCTCCATCTGTATCTACAGTCTGTGACCGGCACCTTTTTAAGATTCCGTCTGAGTTTCCTCTTCAAACATCACAGTCAGTCACATTATTATTTTATCACCTTTATTCTGCAAAATATTGAACACAATCCTGTCAAACAATAAAATTTAGACAATCAATTACAATCAGTAGTCTGTAAATAACTCTATAAATACTAAATGAATTGCAGTCAGAAAGCCACGTAAAGCTGACAAAAGTTGACACCAATAACAATTTATAAAAGTCACTTTTAAATAGGGGTTGAAATTTATCAGAGGTGGATCAGAATGGGAGAAGATTGTGCACTTCAGCAGGATGAATAAATAACACTCAAACCCAGAAACTTTTTTTTTTAAAGGCCAGTTTCTCTGCACCTTTCAGACTAGGTCCACACTACTGTACATTTTGCTGATTCATCAAAGTATTTACAAATCCAGTCGAAGGATGTGACATGTTTGCACCTTCTCAGATCACGTCAGCCATCAAACCGATATGGTTCCAATCTGGGGCTTTAATCAACAAGTTCCAAAATGTGTCAGTTAGTAAAGCAGATTGGGCTCAAACTCACATATTGTGAAATTGTCTTAAAACGCTACTTGTGTTCTCCAAAACTTGAGCTTTGTCTCGTCATCTATGTTCCTGTTGATATCTGAATGTTTAAAAAATCCACGTTTGCAGCAGAATCTCATTATTTCACAGTTTACATGAGTTAGTTTAAACAACAAGTTCAGACATGATGTAAATCTACTGAACATTAATTCATCTGAGAATTTCACAGACAGGAAATATTAACACTTCATGGTCAGGTCCCCCCGTCTCAACATCCCGATTGAGTTAACATTTACTGTCATGTCTTCACATACATCATTTTGTCCTGTGAGAATGACTTTACCTCTGATAAATGTGCTTGTTCTCTCTGCTACTGAAGCTGTGAAGCTCAAGAGCAAAGGTCAGTGGATATTTTACAACTGAGTTCAGTCAATTCATCAAGTATCACAGTAATAAAATGGGATTTTGTAGAACTTATTTTACAAGTACACGCTTTAAAAACACTGAATTCAGACAGCTCCCTCTGCTGACTGAGGACTCTCGGTGTCACTTCCAGAGTCGGAGGTCAAAAGTTGGGATTCAGGGGTCGTACATAGGGTTGGTGAAGTTTCCCAAAGCGCCATAATCTCTGTCCAGTAGACGACCATAGGATGTACGTCTGAAAGCGTAAAAATAGAGTGACAGATAAAAAGGGTCAGTCCTCTAAATATACTTCAGTTTATCATTATGACAGGAGTCACTCAAATGTTCAAAAGACTCATTGACAGAGTTGTACAAAGAATCATTGGTCGTGTGAAATTTTTGCTAGAAGCTTTCATTCATCTACTATGGGAAAACTGTCAGGCAGGATTTTTGGTGATCAAGCGGTTTTGGCTTCCTCTACGGGTTGGAGGTAGACATTTTCGAGGAACACAAACAGACTCATTTGAAATCACTCTTTTACAGTTAATTCAATAAATAACGAATATATATGATTTTATCTTTTCCACTAAATGTCAACATCTGAGCTTCAAAACAGTAACATTTGCATGTCGGTGTGTTTTGTTGATTTTGTATAGGACTCACCGGATCTTGTAGTAGTACAGTCCACCCAACACTACGATGACGATAAAAATGAACAGAGACACAATGGCTGCAATACTTCCTGGAGAGAGACACAGAGGATAAAGGAAACAAAAAGAAACAAAGAAAGATTTAATAGTCTCAAAATACGCAAATAATATATATAAGGTTGAAAGAAAAAAGTGTCTTAGCAACCCGTCCAAGGTGTTTCCAACCATTTCTCTCCAAATGTGTTTCCTTCATGTCTTTCTTTCCAGTGTCTTTTCCTTCACACATGTAGTACTCTGTAGTAGAGTCGCTGTATAAAGAAGGTCTAAGTGCCATTTGATTCTGCTGATTTATGTGTATCCGGTAAAAACATTGCAGCAATGGAGGGAATTGTCGTGGATTGACGTTTACATTAACCTCCGTGCCAGATTTGATCATAGCTAGCAGCTTCAATCTGGACCAATGTGTTGGACAGACAAATCAATGTTTTGTAAAAAAAAAAACAGTTTCAAAAGGTACTTTTTGCGATGACTGTAAGAGAAAATACGCTGTGAAGTTGCAAAATAAAACATCTGCAAAACCTCCAGTGCGTCAGTGGTACAAGGTTACAGTGTCTAAAAGTGTCTTAATGACCTAAGTGGCGCATGTCGTCATCTAAACACACCTTACAGTTCCCTGTAAGTGTCCAGGCTGATTACACTTCTCTGTGTGACCCACTTGTTGTCCTGGTTAATGTCTTTATGGTTCCGTCTGATAACTTCTCTTGTCCAGCACACCAAACTGAACTTTGAGCTTTTGTATTAATTAGTAATCTCATTTCCGAAAACTGGTGTAACACACTCCTGATGGTGTGTGTGGTGTGTCTGTAATGGTACGGAAGTAATGTAATAGTGAAGAAAATTACTTAATACAAATCTTGAAAAGCAGAGACCACAAGCTGTTAATTATTAGGGTAACCTGACTTGGAATATTTTGTAATGAGTGATTACTATTTCTTAGTGTTAATGAATGTATGTCATGAAAAGCAGGTCAGGTCAAGCAGTTTTGGGAATGATTGAATGAGCAGGGGGAGGACTGGCTGATAGGCTGGTGAAGACTTGACTGTAAAGCAACAGAAGCGTGAGAGGCTCTTGTTATGTTCACACTTTACCGAGCACTCAATCAGGTCGAAGACGAGCATGAACAAATAATATGATGCATGGACTCTGCATGTGCACATCACCTTTGGTTTGTTGGTTTCCTTTGGGAGGGGTCATGTGTTGTGCTAATGATATTTGACTGATTCATCCACATTTTGACACTCATAGATAGTTTACAGATAAAACTGCCTGATACTGTGTTCTTTCTGAGTTTAACACAAAGCATTATAAAACAAATACATAGCAGATAAAGGTAGGGTCAATAAAATAAATCAATACCATCAATAAAAAAGATGGTGATTGTGGAACTTGCAGGATTTGTAATAAACGCCACCAATTATTGTGCCCTGACAGAATTTGTATTTTCTGTCACTAACCGAACTGCCGGGCAGCCTCCACCCTGCCCGTGCTCTCACTGCCTTGACTAGAGTCTTAAGGTGGAGAAGCTTACCAACACGACCTTTCAAAAAATAAAACAAATGAAATATCATTTAGGTGCTGTGTACCTGAGCTCAGTGCTTTGGACTTGTGTCCGTCCTGATCCACTGTCGAGGTTTGGGTTGTGCTTGTGGTGGTGCTGGTCGTGGTGCTGGACGTGGTGCTTGTAGTGATGGTGTTGGAGCCACTAGAGGTACTGTGGCTGTTGGTTGTTGTGCGTTGTAACGTTCCTGCGGGGGTGCTGTTGATGGTGCTTGTTGAAGTACTGGCTGTGGTGCTGTTGGTGGTGCTTGGTAAGGTACTGGCGGGAGGACTGTTGGTGGTGCTTGGTAAGGTAGTGGCAGGGGTACTGCTGATAGCGCCTGTTGAAGTACTGGCTGTGGTGCTGGTGGTGGTGCTTGGTAAGGTAGTGGCAGGGGTGCCGTTGTTAGCGCCTGTTGAAGTATTGGCTGTGGTGCTGTTGGTGGTGCTTGGTAAGGTA